GGCAAGCTGCATCGTCCCAGGGCGCCTACACAAGCAGGGACCAAAATAACTGCTTCTTGAATATTCTTGCTCTGGAAAACCCGTGGATCCCTTCCTTGGCTAGGTGTCAAACGTGTGATGTGCTGCCTTAAAGACTGAAACGGAGCGCCCGCAGCAGGGCGCCAAGCAGCCCTTAATCAAGAATGTCTGCAAGACCAGTAACAGGACAACAGCAAATTTATTTACAGTTGGGCTCCAATAATACATTAAGAAGTACAAAGGATATGGTGGAAATTGAGGATAGAAGTCAGACAGGAGGAGGAGGAGGAGGATTTGCTCAACTATCCTAAATTTAGCCGAAGGAACCCATGGCACCAGCAACCCACAGCGAGGATTCCTGGTTATCAGGCCTTGAATCTTGCCTGGTATGGCTTTGGCATGACGGGCAAGGAGAGGGGCCAGAGGGCACTACCGCTGCCAGCAGCTACGAATCTCTCGTTCGGTACGTATGCCAGCCTTCCTCAGGTTTGTGCCCTCCAGAATGTGCTAAATGGCAGTTTCCATCCTCCCCGGCCAGCTTTGCTTTCTTAGACCTCCTCACGGGCCGCCGCCACCACTACTAAGCATGGGGTAGAATTGGAAGAAGCGCCTACCGAAGGAGAAGCAAATAATTCCTTTCTTGGAGGAAGGAAGAAAAGACGCACCATGCGCCTCCAGGTTCCTTCCTGTTCCTGCACTTAACAGTAGCAGCAGTTCCCCACATCTGAGCCATGGGGCTCCTTGGCACATGAAGAGTGGAGCAAATTTCTCTGGGCAGGTGTGTGGGGGGTCTCAACCGTCGCCCACGTCCAAGAGTTACCGGGGAGGGTGGAGAGTCCCAGGGCTTTCTTCCAGGACTTCCAAGGAGGTGTGGCCGGTTTGCACAGGACATACCATTTATTAAGAGGCAAAAAGTCCAGGTAATTCTCCCATCATTCAGAGCAAGGGAGCGAGCTTGCCGCTGAGAAACACAGTGGTCACAAGTCTGCTTTATGTACCGCAACTTCCCGTCATGGGCGGAAGAAGCACGACGGACGGAGTGGTTACAGCTTGGAAAGCCCTGTGTGGAAAACGGCATTCACCCAATTCTGAAGGGGCACCTCCCCAACACCAAAATGGGCAAGTTGCTGGAATGGGAGCGTGGCAAATGTCCCCACAGACCGTTTCCAGAGAGTTTCCCTCTGGCCGCCGCCACCTCCGCTGGTTCCCCCCCCGCCCCCCAGCCACAGCACATGCTGCTCTCTGCACAGTAATCTCTCCCTGAACTCAACAACAGCTTCACCAGTCTGTATCTGTCAGTCCCCTGTTGCTGCCACGACAGGAAAAAAAAATTTAAAAAGGGGGGGGGAATCACTGAGAGGGATGCTTCTGGGAATTAAAACAAAACAAAACCACCCTTATATCCAGAATAGAATAAAAGTTAAAAAAATGCAGATTATCTACACACCCTTCCCTCCAGGCAATTCCCCCAACGTCATGGACAGTGTGCGCCAAAGATTACATTCCGAAAGCTGAACTATTTTTATTTCTTTTTCTCCCCCTCCCCGCTGAGTTTTGCTTCCTTGGGAGAAACAGGAGATTGCGCCTCATTTCCTTCCTAGGAGGAAACGGAGTGACCAGTTGCTTTCTGCCCTGCTGACCTCGGAGCCCCTTCAGTCTATTTTCACAGCGGCGTAAATCTTACGGACAAACATGTAGGCTGCATAGAAGCCAACAGTCCCAGTGAGGAGCCAGAAGGAGAGGACGATGAGGGCGGTGTAGCCAAAATAGAGCGAGGAGGGAATGAACTCCACAATGTCCAGCTGAAAGGAAAAGAAAACCGCAAGGCAAGGTCAGGTCAAGGAGCTTGGGCATGGGGAAACGGTGCCACCCCCGCTGCCCAGTGCCCCTCAACTGGGGACGGCTGAACCCCACTCAGCCCAGGGTTGCCCACCCAAAGCAACCAAGAGGTTGTTAGGCTCAGCCACGGCACAACTCCCTGAGACTCCAAGCAGGAAACAAGCCCAGAGCAGACTGCAAAAATACCTTATTCACAAAGTAGAAGATGGCATAAATCATAACGTAGAAAGCCGACCCTCCAGACACAAGGAAGGTCCTCCACCACCACCGATAATCCTGCCGAAAAGAACAGAGAGAGAAAGAGAGACCGCCTTGAGTCTGCTGATGCGGCCCGCTTCCCTTCTTCTACAGGATACAGATCCAAACTACACACCAGGGAGACGCATTCTTCTCCCTGATAGCATGTGTCTGCTGTTAAAATTAATCTAGTTAAAGCGATAGAACAATCACCAGTTTTAAAATAACATGCAAATACCATATCGAAAACCAACCAATATAGGTCAGAACCAGGATTTTGAAAACATTTAAAAATATCTAGATTGCCCCCCCCAATATAATAAAGCATTCCCTTGAAATGAATTGCTTAAAAGCCTTCCTAAAAAGGAAGGCCTTTGCCTGATAACCAAACGGCTAGACGGAGGGAGCTGACCTGGCATCATGGGGCAATGCATCCCAAAGCCTGGGAGCAGCCACGGAGAAGTTCTGTTTTAAAGCCTCCGTTTGCGCGCACATTGAGAAGTTTTGTTTTAAAGCCGGTGTGTGTGGGACATTCAGACTAGCAACCCTCCCGCCTGCTGCACACGCATCAAGAGAAGCCTAAATGTGCTTGCACATTTTATTGACTGGCTCGTACACTCCATCTCTTTCTGCCCCAAGCCTCACTCATGGTTCCCTTGGATCACAAACCTATCCTCATCTACACATCCGTGAACTGTGAGTGCGGGGGGTAACCTTGTAGATTTGGGCTGCCCGTGTTTGTATTCCACCCCACCAACCTCCCATTGTTCCTGAAAGATACCAGTCATCTTACCTCTGCACACAGCTGGAAGTACACCATGACGATGCTGATTTGGGAGCAAGACACCACGAGGATGATGAACACCAAGAAGAGGAAGCCAAAGAGGTAGTAGAACTGGTTCTCCCAGATGGCCTGAATCCCAGAGAGACCAAAAGAAAAAAGGGGGATGACCATGAGGGACAGACAGCCCCAGATTGTTTGATTAGGGTGGGAAAATGAAAAGATACACACAGTCGGAAACCACTGCTTTAAAGCATTTTCGGGCTGCAGGAAGCTACCGTGGCTACTTCAGGAGACAACCAAAGACTCACAGAGAGGCTGCGTCCTTTGGCACTGCAGCGAGTCTAAGATGCTCCTTAAGCTACCAGGCCTGCCTGCAAGGGGAGCTGAGGCGTTAGCCTATTTATTTTTTTATTTATTTGATTTATATGCGAGTCTAAGATGCTCCTTAAGCTACCGGGCCTGCCTGCAAAGGGAGCTGAGGTGTTAGCCTAGAGAAAGCTCCCTACCCTAATACCTTCGCACACTCCCTTTTTCAATGGCAGAGTACTTTTTTATATATAATGCAACCTTCAGGCACGCAGGACCCATACAGGAATTCTGCCACCCATCCCAAACTGGCGACACTGCCTTATGAGAGAGAGGTGGTGTGCCACCATATTGTGTGGAAGAGGAAGCCAAAAGGCATCTTCTGCCGACAGTCCCGTTAACAGCAGCCCGAGAGATAGCTCTACTCACATCTTCCAGAAACATCTTAAATTTTGGTCCACCCCCCACCCCCGCCCAGATCACTTTCCTTCCCCAGCAGGCTGAGGAAGAAGGGGCCTCAGGGAAGTTATCACTGCCCACCCTGCCTAGGTTCTACTCACATCTTCCAGAAACATCTTAAATTTTGGTTCCCCCCCGCCCAGATTACTTTCCTTCCCCAGCAGGCTGAGGAAGAAGGAGCCTCGGGGAAGTTATCACTGCCCACCCTGCCTAGGTATCTGGTGAAAGGCATCTCCGCTTTCCCCACACCAGAAACTTTTCTGAAAGCCTTTTCTCAAGCAGACATGGTGATGGGAAGGATCTGGCCCACCAGAATAAGCTGCGTTTGGCCTCTCTAGGCTTTAGAGGAGCCATGGCCACTGCCGCGAGGTCGCGCCTGATTCCAAAAGTGACACTTGGCCACCCCCTTTCCCCTGCCTGCCTTGAGATTCTCTCCCACCCCGGTCACAACAAACTCCACTACGCAAACGGTGACGGCCGCTGGAGAAGCTGCGGCAGAAACAAGGCGGCTGGGCCCCCATGCTTACACTGAAAATGAAGAAGAGTTCAATGAACATGGCTCCAAAGGGCAGAATTCCAGCCATCAGAATCCTAAGGAGGAAGAAGACCGTTACTATTCAAGCATCTCGTTGTCTTAGATTTAAGAATCAGGGACAGCCGTCCATGGCCATCATCCCATTGATCTACTTGGGGCTACTAGTTGTACGCTGAGTGCTTATGACAAGCCCCTCTGTTCCAAGGGGGGGGCTGCCTTTACTAAAAGGACTCCCCAAAGAGTGAAAATGCTCTCCATGGCTGCTGGAGGGCAGAAGGGTTTTTTAAAAAATTCTTACTATATTTCCTCCCAAAATTAAGGAAACTAATTTAAGAGAGTGAAAGGGATGCAGGAGCAGATCCCGTCCTCCCGGTTTTAGGGGTGCATGAGTCAGTGCCGGCTCTCCTGGAAAGGGGTCCACCCCCTAGGAGAAGATGGGAGAAAAGCTTCCAGGTCATTCCCAAGCCTTTCCCACCACAGAAACTTGCTTCCCCAGGATATCGACTGTTGGCTCATTCAGACCGGAAAAGTGGCTCTCCGGGCAACTCACCCGACAAATCGGTTCATGTACCACCTCTGTTCTGGGATCTGCCTCGGGATCTGGTTGGTCCGCACGGGATTGTCGTACGGCTGCTTGCGAAACCCAAAGTAGTAGCCCAGGTACACCAGGGGCAAGGAGATGCCGAACCACATGCACAGGAGAGCCACCATGGTGGGGAACGGGACCTGAAAAGGGGGAGACTGGCCCGTCAGTTCCCAAGCCCACCAGTTTGGGAGACCACAGAGGGAGACCCAGCTGGTGGTGTGGTAGATGGATCACCACCACCCTCTCTCCCAGGCCAACCTCCAGAATACCCCTAGAAAACATCCACAAACAAACTGCCCCCAATTGCCATGACACTAACCGCAGGCCAGGGACTTGGCTTTATACGAGAGATGAGCACTGACCTTGGTTCACAGGTTCCTGCTGGTTTGCATACGTGGTACACCACAGGCGCCAGGTGCTCCATTCCCCCGCCTCCCCGGTGGGGTCCCCTACTCACCAGCTGACCCATGCTCCTCTCTTCTCCTCCTCCTCTCTGGCTGTTCCACCGTCTCTCTGGCAGGAGCCTGGGCTTCTCTGCCCCACCTTGGCTAATTGCCTACTCAGACAAGGAGGCAGGACTATCAGCCCTGTGCTCCTGCCGGGGACCGGAGGAAACATCAAAGAGGAGGAGGAGAGGAGTGTGCGCCGACGAGCGTGTGGGTCCTTGACCAGGGAGGTAGGGGAAGGGAACACGCAACACCTTGTAATGTTGTACAGACCAATAAGCACAAACCTCCATATTCAGGTTTGTATCTTTCTCTGCTTTATATTGTACATTGATCAAAGACTGCAGAATCGAAGCTTAGAAACTGTTCTTAAATGTCTTTTGAATATGTGCAAAAGTGTCACATTTGGACAGATACACAATGCTCGAAGTCATCTGGGTTTGGAAACTGTTCTTAAATGCCTTTCAAATATGAGCAAAAATAAAACCCTATTAGTGGATCTGGAGGGAGTCATTTCTCCCCTCCCTCTTCAAAACGGCTTTAGAGGACATGAGATACTATCATAAATAAAACCATTAATGCTTTCTGGGTTTATAAGGGGAGGCAGAACAAAGGACTGGGCAGCCTAAAACAAATAGCCAGTAGTGGTTATACATCGGGGGGGAGGGGGGCAGGCAAAAGACTAAGGGCTGGAAGGAGGAGAGATGGCCGTCTGGTCCGATGCGTACCGCTCCCGTTGAGTGTTTGCCCCAGATGAAACAGTTCAGGATGAAGCAAATCCCGAAGACGACTCCTGGGTACAGAGTGGCCGTCTGCAGGGAAAGAAGCAAAGAGGACTCTCCGTCACAGCCTGTCAGGAGAAAAGGGAGGCCGCGGCAGAAGGTCGTGGAAGGCTTTACCAGGAGGATTGGGCAGCTGGCTCTCGGCAGGGCCTCCGCCGTGGATTTCCTGCTGCTGCTTTGGCAGGGAGCGAGAGGTGAGGGCCCTTCTAAGGATCCCTTCCCACTGTCCCATTCTAGGACTGCAGAAGGGCTTCTGGGATCTGGGGGACAGACTGACCCAGGAAGCCGCTGGGGGGCCAGTTCCGCCTCTGCCGTGGCTCAACCCACCTCTCGCTTTCGCCACGGCAATGCGCACCCTCCCACCTGCGACGAGGAAGAGTCTTTTAAGGAATACTAAGCAGCACTCTTATTAGCACTTCTTGGGGCCAAGGCAAGCATCCAAACAAAATGAAAGGGAAATAACCAAGTTTTCGATACCTTCTAAACGGCCAGACCATTTTTTTCCCTGCAAGATATTTGCTTTCATTTGTTGGCTTGTTTTTAAAATAAGAGACTCCCGGGGATCACCAGACAGCTTTCTCCGACCATCTCTCAAGCCCTTTAGAGAAGGGCTACTTTATCATCATAATCAAGACCAGGTCAAACTCTAGGGTAGGAGCGGGCCACTTTGGTGGGCCTGAGGGCCAACGTTCTGCCCCTGGGATCCTCTGGAGGCTGGGCAGACGGCCCAAAATGTCCCAAAGCAAAGACGAAGCGAACAGCAGGGGCTTGAAATCCATTTCCAGAAATAACATGGCACAGAGATGTTAAAATGTGCACAGAGACCCTGGGAATTTTTGAAAGGTGAGCTGCCATTCCTGGAGATGTCTGGCAGCTGCAATTTACTTTCTGTTACTAGAAAAAGAAAGGGCCAAAGAAACATGGGGGGGGGGAGCCCTCCTCTGTCCCCAAACCCGCTTCTGCCCTCCACGGCCAAGCAAGAGAGTCGCTTACACAGAAAGCACCTTTCTTCCACCGATGGCCTTTCAGCGTCCGATATAACCGTCCAGCAGAGAAGCCGCCAAAAACCCTACAAGAGAAGCAAGAAGGAGGAAGAGGAGGAGGCTAACCTGCCTGGCCACGGAGAGGAGGGGGGGTGGATGGGGGGGATGCAAAGCAAAGGTCACACCTACCCCATGAACATGAAGAGGAAACAGGCGGTGGTCATCAGAGCGCCCCGGCTGGACGGAGACAGCATCCCCAGCATGGCGACGACTGCAAAGCAAGGCAGGAAAGGGTCAAGCCCGGCCTCCCGCCTTGAAACCAGAAAGCCAAAAGACAGGCTTGTTCTGCTCTGAACTGAGCACCGCTCAAAAACCAGGCTGGCGTTCATGGAAGGAGGTTCTCTCTTGTCTTTTCTTTGCATTGACTCTTCCGGAGGCATGCTTTGCCCGCCCCCAGACTGCCCATTGGCTTTCCTATTCTCCCGTAATACACAACCAGGCAGTTTTAACAGGGAGGAGAACTGAAGCAGGCTGGAACGTCCCAAAGAGGCTGATGGAACCAGACGCCCGGGTGGCGGCGGAGGATCCCCAGAAAAGGGAAATGGAAAGATGGACAGTTTCCAGAGGAAGTCAAACACCAGAAGAGGGGTTTCCCCCCCTAAAATGGGGGGGGGGAGAAAAGAGGGCCCCTGTGCTGCTCCACTTGGAACCCCCATGGCAGCAAAAGGGTTTTTCCCCCCTAAAATGGGGGGGGGGAGAGAAACAGAGAACAGGGGGCCCCTGTGCTGCTCCACTTGGAACCCCCATGGCAGCAAAAGGCGCTTGAGGCGTGCCGTATGCTTGCCTCCGTTCCCAAGACCTGGCGAAAGCAGCTCGTGGCCTCTTTGCTGGCCATCCAAAGAGCGTGTGCACACACACAAGAATTTTCCATGGAGCCCTCAGAATGGTAGCAGGCTCTTCTTCCCAAGACCCAGCTCTAAAGTTCTGTCATAGAACTGCACAGAGGGCAACGATCTTCTAGCCTAAACCCCTCTTGCCTCCCCACCTCCAAAAAAAACCCCTAGGGCTGTACTTGTTTTCCTTAGGGTTCCACCTGCCTTCGCCAGAGCTTCCCCAGATTCAAGAAGTCAGGCCTCTGAGCTTCGGGGCTTACAATTCAGGACCTGAGACGAGGGAAGCGACTGAGGAAGGGGAGGGGCGTGGAGGCGAGGGCGAGCCCCAGCAAGGCGGAACCGCTGGGAACTCGGATGTTGGGCCTGACGGTTTGTGCGCAAGGCGGAGCTTTGGGGAGCGATTTGAAGAAAGAGATTTAAGCATCACCCTGGTGTTCTAGAAGTTAGCCCCGAGCCTACGGGGCTCAAAGAGAAAGGGCGCCGTTTTCCGAAGGGCCAGGAATCCTTTTTGGTGGTAGAAAGCCAAGGGGACAGAGAGAGGAGAAGGGACGGGACACGAGGAGCAGAGAGAAGGCATCGGGCAGAGCAAGGAACTCCAAACAGACGGCTGACACCAGTGAGCGGCAGGCGTCCCCCGGCCCAGTCTCTACGGAGACTCCCCATCCCACCCTTTCTACCCAAGCGGCTGCTCGGGCCCTCCGGCGGATACTCACAGATCACAATCAGGATCATGCAAAAGAGCTGGATCCCAGAGCCCAGCAAGGAGCTGAGGATCATGGGGTACTGAGGGGGCCGGAAGACATCCCCGTGCACCAGCTTCCACCCGGATTCCTCCATGGTGTCTTCCTGCAGGCGGAAGATAGGCAACGCAGCACTGTGATGAGGCCCACAAATGGGGGCAAGAGAGAACAAACAGCCCCCCCCAAGCCGTTGGAGGCAGATTCACATTTTGCAAGAGTTAAAACTGCTTCCAGACACGGCCTGCCATGGGGGGGCGGGGGGACAACAACCTATTATTCTAAGAAAGTCTGGTGATGCTTGTCAGGGATATGCTGAAACTGTTAAGCTAGAGGGTTGCTGCGGACACAGGCTTTCATGGCCCAGTGGCTCTTTCCTTTAAACAGCACACAGTCACCCTGTGGAACTCACTGCCACAAGGCATAGGGATGGTGTCCACCTATCTGCAAAGCAAAAGCCTATCACTGCCATGTTTATCATGACAACTATATGTACTACATATTCAGAAGTAACTCCCCCCACCCACCCAATATGAGTCTCCAGGGTACAGGGCTGTAGGGTGGGGGACAGGGTTCCTATTGCTTGCTGGCTTTGCAAACTGTCAACCGTCCCCTGCTGGACACAGGGTGCTGGAATAGTCTGTCCCGACCTCTGGCTCTCTTTTGCTCTTAACTGGAGGTGGGCATGTGCCTGAACTCGTGCCTCTTTGTCTGAAGTAACCTCTACAGCACCACAGGCACCGTGTGGATCCTTCCCTCCCCGACCCCATCCTGGGCTGGTTTGCATCACATGCTTGCATCACGTGCTGCCGGGGCCCGGCCCAGCCCTGCCTCCTCAGATAGCCAGCCACTCCAGCGAGGAGGTAGGAAGGGGAGTCTCCTCATGCAGTCGGCTGACGGAGGAGGCAGGGCCGGACCGGCCAAGATCCTGGCCAGACTGGAGCGCCACCAGAGAAGAAGGACCCCAGCAATGCACCAATCAAAGTGAGTGGCCCAGCTGGCCCGTGGGGTGGGGGAAGGATCAGCACCTGTGGTGCTGCGCAAGTCAATCTGTACAAAGAGGCATCACTTAAGTCGTGCCCCCTCTCTTAACCATTTTTACGGCTGATTCCCTGTCCCCAAAACCTTCCCAAAGGGGATCTCCCACCAAGCCGCCAGCACTTGCATCTCGTACAATGTCATCTTCCTTGTTATAGTTGGCAATATCCTTCCGGAGCGTCCGGATGATGATCATGCTGAGAATCCCTGGGGAGAAATATATATATAAATATATCCTGGAATAAGCACATTCCAGCCCAACCCCCTGAGTTCAGATAGCATTCACTCGCCAGTAAGTAGCACACATATGCAGTAAGTGTGACGGCAGCAGGGAGGGAGGGAGAAGGATTTGCCCGAAGGTGCTAAGAACTGGAAGCAAGGCAGGGACAGGACAATGGACAGTAAAAATTGCCCTATGAGTCCCACACGCCCATGGAGTTGTATCCCCAAAACTTGTGTCTTCTGCTTTCCACATCAGCATTTAGGTACCCCACGTTAAGACAGGTTCTTGGGGAGGCCTGGGGAAAAGTACCCTCGCAAAAGGCACTCGGGGGCTAGAATCCTGTGGCTTAATGTAGGCAAATCGTACTAGAGTAGGCCCATTAATCCAACACGGATTTAGCGCGTCAACCCTTCCACAAATCCCATTGATCCAAATCAGCTTACTAACAGCGACTTCACAGGAAGTCACAACCAGAGTAGGCCCATCGGAATCAGCAGAACCTCCAGAGGAGTCAACTCACTAAATCTCCATTGATTCAATAAGCCTACTCTAGCAGGATTTGCTACACTAACATTCAGTGATCAAGAAGCCAGAGTCCTGTATCAGCAATCGGTGACGGTCTGCTGCTCTCCTTTGCACCCTCAGCCAAGAAGGAACAGCTCAGCTGGTTGAGAACCTTTAGAGCCCAAGCTAACCTTCCTTTTCCCAGCCATACTCAGGAGAAAGGAGGCCCTTCTCCTCCAGCCCCAAACCTCCCAAATACAGGGATGTCCACTGCATTTGTCCGGGTTAGGCTGCTGTTTTAAGAGCGAGCACCCACAGAGACTGGTTCCTAGGCATGGAGGGGAGACAGAGCATTCAGTCCTTTGCGACCTTTTAAAGATAAACACTTGTTTCATTCTTTACAACAGTCCTGCCTGCGGAGAATCGGGAGCGTGCAAGGCCACGCTCAGGGAGGCACGAGGCTGGGGACGGCTAGACGCAGGCTCTTGGCCCGCCATTTTGGACCATGGGGTTAGTGGGGGTGACGTTTGCAGCAAGAAAAGCAAGGATCTGGCATCGAAGATTGCATTTAATCGGGATTCAATGGCACCCCCTCAAAAAACAAACAAACCCACACCTGTGCATTTTGAAGAGCCCTTGTTCCACTGCCTCCTGAGAGCTATCGCCTGTTTCTGAAAACTTCTGGGAGGACGGAGAGGCCGACAAAGCACTGAGCCTTTGCAGTTTTGGGCTTGGGACTATTTTTCAGGGTTACAAGGCTCCACTACCTTTTTAAGATAAACACTTGTTTCATTCTTTTCAAATACTTGTATACTTGTTTTTCTTAGCTTTTAAATATTGTCTCCTATTTAACGATGCAAGCCACCTTGGGTCCTTCGAAGGAGAAAGGCGAGATAAAAATATTTTAGATAAATAAATATCCAAATCAACCCTGAGTGCTCACTGGAAGGACAGATCCTGAAGGTGAGGCTCCAATCCTTTGGCCATCTCATGAGAAGAGAAGACTCCCCGGAAAAGACCCTGATGTTGGGAAAGTATGAAGGCAAGAGGAGAAGGGGACAACAGAGGAGGAGATGATTGAACAAGGTCATCGAAGCGACCAACATGAATTTGACCAAACTCCGGGAGGCAGTGGAAGACAGGAGGGCCTGGCGTGCTCTGGTCCATGGGGTCATGAAGAGTCGGACATGACTTAATGACTAAACAACAACATGTATGTAGGAAAGTGTGAAGGCAAGAGGAGAAAGGGATGACAGAGGATGAGATGGATGGACAGTGTCACCGAAGTGACCAGCGTGAATCTGACCCAACTCCGGGAGGCAGTGGAAGACAGGAGGGCCTGGCGTGCTCTGGTCCGTGGGGTCACGAAGAGTCGGACATGACTTAACAACAACAAAAATCCAAACCAACCAACCCACGGCCCCAGAGCCTGTGGGAACTGGGTGGCCTTGAGGCTCAGAGAGGGGATAAGCTGCTATTTCCTGTGTTCATGCATCCGTTCATCATCACAGATAAAAGTTATTTCCTATAATGCAGATGGCCCCTCAATGATCTGAATCATGGAGGCTCTGAGTGAATCATACCTGGAGATTAATACATTACTTCCATGAAGGAGTAAATTAACTTCTATTGAAAGCATGTGGGCACAACAGACTAAGAGATGATCTGGAGAACTTCCCTGTGTCTCTACTTTCCAACGAGGGAGTATTTTCCATACAAAGCCTCACTGTGAAACGGCGCCTAACTCCAAGGGGTAAAAGGGAACTGGGGCAAAGCTCATTCCTCTGCCAGTCTGTTCACCAGCAATATTTTGTTTGGAACACCTGCCAGGTGCCCTGGGATGGCACACCCTCTCCACTGCCGTCAGACAGCGCCAGCATTTATGCAAGGTCATGTGGAGAGATCAAGATCTGAACCTTTACCTGTTACCTTGCATTTGTCACCTATAAATGTAATCCACAGACATGTAAACAGGCCCGTGTAACTCGCGTGCACCTGAATGCCCCTGAGTCCACCAAGTCACAACCAGCTCATCGAATGCACACAGAGGCGCACAGAGACAGAATCCCAGCCCGCCTCTTCTCTCTCACCTGAAAGGAAGAAGACCACCACGACGGAGTTGATGATGGAGAACCAATGTATTTGCACGTCACCCATGGTGAGGTAGGTGTCCCAGCGGGAAGCCCATTTGATGTTGCTTTCCTACAGGAGAAGGTTTGTTACTTTAGGAGAGTGCCCATCACAGATGAGAGTTCCTTATTCACCCCTTATGTGAGAGGCGGCTCGGGTGGGGCTCTGAAGGAAACCACTGACCCCGCTAAGCCCTTTACTTTTCAAGCGCCTTTCAGGGGAGGTTCTCAAAGCCGTTAGCAATGTTGAAATGTAATGAAGCAACATGAAATAAATGAAAGGTACCTACCTGGAGAAAGGTCAGCTGCCGAGAGCCAGCCCCTCTCTCCCTCTCCCTCTCCGTCCCTCCCCACTTCCACCCACTAGGGGTTGCTCTCTCCACCTGCCAGGTCCCCTGAGACGGCACGCTCTCTCCTGCGTGACCCATGGGCTTGAGGGCAAATGCTGCTGGACCCTCTATGTGGGTACCCCCAACACACACACACACATATATCGCTGCGGTCTTCTGCAAGCCATCCTCGGGAGCTTTACACCAAAACCAGGGTGTACATCTTTTCCGCACCATTGGCATCACACCCAGCTTCAAAGCCGCTTATTCGTGAAGAACACGAGCAAAGCAAAGGGCAAGATGCCCCTCTACGGCTATGCAAGGATCTCGCCCCGCTTGTCGGATGAGGGCAGGGTAGATTTTCCCCATGGAGGAGAGCTGACAACACAGCCAGCGATGCGACTGGAAGAGGCTCTATGTCCAAGGAGAGGGTTACCCTTCCTTTACACCCAGGAAAAGGTGCCCAAAGCAAGACCATCCTGTGGCATTTTAACCCATGGTGAGGATTTGGTTTTTTTTTTTTTTAAAATACATATAACAGAAACAGTATCTTTTCTCAAAAATCTTTTAAAAACAGCAGCATTGCATCCACTGACTTCTTTTGGGGGGGGGGGTTGCAGGTGAAGACCTGGCCCATTATAGATATGCTTGTTTCCACTGTGGTGTTTGTTAGTTTGTTTGAAGATACCTTAGACATGGAGTAACACTGTAGCTGTAACCTTGGCTGTCACGAAAGGAATGGAAGGTACGAATCTTAGCCGCCCTCCATATCCATCGCCCTGATTCTGTGCCACCCTCCCTCCTTGCCAGCTTACTCACTCACACACACACACCCCTCTCACCTCCCAGTGGACGGAGTAGGTGAAAAGGAGCTTGTTTTCCTTGGTGGGATCAATCTCCTGAGGGGCTGAGCTGGCAGCTTCCGGCAAGGTACACCCCCCCTTCTCATCCGCCTTCAGATCTAGGAAGGAAAACCGTTGTATCAGCAGCCTGCTTTTCTCTTTCTTTCTTTTTTAACTCCAGTGTTCCAAAGCCAAGGCACCAGATCTTCCAGGTACTCTGAGTCACCTCCACATCCCACCAGCCCAGCCCTGCATGGCAGTCTTCAAGGACCAGGGCAAACCCAAGGCACCAGATCTTCCAGGTACTCTGAGTCACCTCCACATCCCACCAGCCCAGCCCTGCATGGCAGTCTTCAAGGACCAGGGTGGGCACCGTGAAGCCCTCCCGGTACCATGGGTCTAAAATGGCCATCCATCTCAGCCAGCAAAGGCCAGGGTGAGGTCCAGCCGTTAACTGCCCTTTTGCCCACTGGCCCAAATCCTTCTACCTCGTCATCCAGACATTGCACAAACAGAGTAACTTTTGGAGGTGAGCTGCTCTATGTTAAGAAATCACAGCAGACCTGACCAGGTGCCTACGGAGTTCCACGCCCCAGGCCGCAACAGATCACATCTAAGGCAACCTTTTTGAGCAATTTGACAACCCCCCCTCAAGAGGATTCTGGCCACTGTCTGACACACAAAGTTCTGCCCTTTGCTCACATATCCTAGACCTTTGTGCCGTTTCTCAAACATCTACCCCCACCTTCAACCTCCCCTGTAAAAGCAACACATAAAACTGCAGAATCCAGACCCTTTGCTCCATCCAACCCAATATGAACCCCTGCAAAGCCTGGCAACAATAATCCAGGACCTCAGGCACAGGACGTTCCCCTGCTCTCCCTCCTGGAGGAGGCCAGGGATGGTACCTGGAGGCCTCTGAATACAACGCACCGGGCCATTACTAGACAAGGGAGGAGGGGTTGTATTCATATATGAATACGAAGCTCACCTGCACGGGTAGCCGGCACAATGACCACCCGCCCCCAGAACCTGCCGTGCCACTTACTGCGCGGTATGCGTGGCTGGCGTCATCCACTGCACCCCAACCATGGCAACGCGGCCCCACCTTCCTGCTCACCTGGCCACTCCTGCAGCTGAGCGGAGAGACTCGTCCTTCCACCCCCTGGCCGGAGCAACTGAAAGAGCAGGAAGGTGGGGCTGTGGCCACTGGGCTACTGCTGTGATTGGAGCGCAGGGGAGGACGCTGGCCACGGACGCCATGGGGTAAGTGGTCCAGTGGGTTCTGAGAAAGTGGTTGTCGGGCCAGCAACCTGTGTCAGTGGGCTTCCTATCTGTATACGAATACAAAGCCCCCCATGTCTAGCCATGACCCTTCCCCCTAAGGTGAGCTCTCCAAAAGGTACCTGTAGAAAACCCACAAGATCAAGCAGGCACGTCTTCCACCTTTCACGGAGGTCCCTCAAAGGAGAGTCCATACAATATAGAAAAAAAAAGATATTGCCCACAAAGAAACGAAGGCAGGAGAAGATGGGCCAGAGCCCAGTTCTTCACAAGACAGACAGGGCAAGTTTTACTCTCCTCCCAGGGAGTCCACAACCAACCCTTACCAGCAAGCTTGATGCTCTGCGGAATGACTTCAAAGCGAACCACCCGGTACGTGGGGACCTGGTTCTCTTCCACCTCTTCTCTGTGGTAGTAAAGGATGAAGGAGAGGTGGTTGTGCAGGTAGAACTAAAACAGATTGACATTAAGAGATGTCAGAGGCTCTGGAGCAGTTAGCAGGTCCTATTTGAAGGGGTCGCCCTACAGCATCTCCCCGAACGGTCTGCGGGAGGGCTTCGCGAGCAAAGGAAGCTACTGAAGGATCCCCACATCACCAGTCAGGAAACTGCCACGCCTACGACGTGAAGCTGACCGAGGAAGCTGGTGATGCACAGAGGAATCAGTCTCTTGCAACTTCTGCAGCCGCTACCGTCACCCTAACCCCTGCCTCTTTAATCATGGAAGCAGCAAGAAGAGAGAGACAACCAAAAAAAAAAGAAAAAAAAAGAAAAAAAAACGGGTTGCATTCTGACCATCTACAAACGGAGAACTGTCTTGCAAAAGAGGAAGAGGCCAGACAAGACAAGACCTATCGCTCCATGGGCGTGGTTGGCACCACTCGACTCCTCTTCCCCCCCCCCCAGCTGGTCATGGGGATGCTTATCAAAAATCAGGAACTAAATTTGATTATTTTCCTGTTTTTTCTCCACACACACCCCTCCCAGCTGCTTTTTTAGGGAGTCTATTATACTGTTTCAAATCCTATGGCAGCAGAATTGGGGGAGTGTCACATGAGGTCTCCGAAATTCCTCCTCTTCCTTTTTTTTTTTTTTTTTTGCTTTTCCTTTTTCTGTTGGGGTATTTTATTTATTTCTTGTTCTGTGCCTTTATGTTTTGTTATATTCCCCATGATTTAAGCATCAATTAAAAAATATCCCTATTGCCATTCCCAGGCCCAACGGTTTTAGCATGGGGGGGGGGCTCTAAGGATATTTCTACATGTCACTTAAAACAAAACAAAAAGGAAAAGGACACTGGAAGTATTCAGATGACTAAATAAATAAAGCAACATGGCTGAAAACTACCATTTCTGGAGTTCTTGGTGGCCCCTGTGGCAGGGGCCTGGAGGAAAAATATGTCCTCCAAGATCCCCCCCCCAATACCCTAAGGTATTAGGATGCCCGGGTGTGGATTGCAGGAGGGTATGGAGAGTACTTGTAGCAAAGTCCAATGCCCGTCCATCTTCCCTCCCTCCCTCTATTTATTTATCAGACGTCTATGCCACCCATCTAGGGGCCTCCCATGACTCTGGGCAGCTTGCCTACATTTAAAAAAACACAATACACACATTGGTTGTTGTGGGTTTTTCGGGCTCTTTGGCCGTGTTCTGAAGGTGGTTCTTCCTGACATTTCGCCAGTCTCTGTGGCCATGGGCATCTTCAGAGGACTGGAGTCAGAACGCTGTCAGCCACAGAGACTGGCGAAACGTCAGGAAGAACAACCTTCAGAACACGGCCAAGAAGCCCGAAAAACCCACAACAACCATTAGAAGACTAAAAGAACTGGGCATGTTTAGCCTTGAGAAAAATTCTTGGCCCACAGTCAGATGGCAAGAGACGGCGCCCGGCCTAAGCCCACGGCCCGGTTCCCTCGGACCCTCCCTCCCCCAAAGGGAACCCAGACCTCTTCACCTTACTGCTGTCCATGAAGCCAAGCCGATAGCCATGCTCGAACTGCACGTCCTTGTCTTTGCTCTTTTCCTCCTCTTCCCGATTGGAGTAGAACTCCAGCCTCGTGGCCACCGGCAGGTTATCGGCGATGCTGCAAGAACAAGCCTTTGGATCAAACCCGTTTGACTGCTGCCCAGCGGGGGGTGTGTGTGTGTGAGCGTGTGAGCGTGTGAGCGTGTGTGTATGTGCATGTGTGCGTGTGTATGTGTTTGTGTGTGTGTGAGAGAGAGAGAGAGGAAGGACTCACAGGTGGACGTAGTATTCCTCCTGGATCCGCTCAGCAATCAGCTGGCTGGCTTCCTTGGACAGGACCACAGGATTACTGGGGCCATTGCATAAAACCTCACACTTCTTTTCGACGTTCATGAAGACCTGGAATGGGGTGTTGACAATCCTGTCCCCTCGGAGGACCTCGCCTGCCGGTAAGGAGGAAGCAGAAGACTGTTAGGAGACTGTTAGCTGGGCACCCCCTCTAAAAGCGCCTCGGCGGTCAGGACCAACTACGTTAAGCTAGATGCTTGCAATCGCCAGACTCCCCTTGAGCTAGCTTCATTATGTTACATTAACCAAAGACGCAATCCAATTTTATTCCCTTCCGCCATGTTTTGGGGGCGATACCTTCAACCACCTGAAATTTCTTGGGGGGGGGGGGCTACCATGCAGGAGTAAGCTACCAGGCTCTGTTCATTGTCCATTACACTCCAGGCAGTTGCTGGAGCAAGCGGGAAGACCCCCAATAAACTAGATTTACGACAAACAGAACAGGGGCCCTGCACCCTTCTGAATGGATCCTGCACCCATCCAAGGAACACCTTGGGCTACATCAGGAACTCTGCAGGTGAAATGATCAACATTTCCTTTCCTTCCCCCTTCTCTGCAGCCTCCTGTACTGCTCTGGAGGGTTTCCCAACCCTCCAGAGATAGCACCGGGATGCTGTGTGTGTGTGGCATTGACAGGCAGACGACCATCACTGCTTCCACCCTCGTTGCCAAGAACGGACTACAAAGGATTGAGGCTTACCAAGGTTTTCTGCTTTGTATGTGATTGTTTGGGGCTGGCAGAATGGCAAGGAGTAATATTCGTAAGGCAGCTGGGTGCGTGAACTGGTGAGCTTCACCGCCTGGAAGATGAGAGATGCGGTCAGCAATGTTTCTAAACCACGAACATTCCAGCCAACAAATTGGAGCATGTTCAGAGGGAGGCAACGAGAATGATCAGGGGGTGGTTGGAAACCAAGCCCTATAAGGAGGAAAGACTAAAAGAACTGGGCATGTTTAGCCTTGAGAAAAAAGACTGAGAGGGAGATAGCATTCTTCAAATATCTGAAAGATAGTCCTACAGAGCATCAGTTCTCCATCATCCCAGAGTGCAGGACATGCAAAAATGGGCTCAAGCGACAGGAAAGCAGATTTAGGCTGAATTACAGTATCAGGGTGAAAAACTTCTTAATGGTTAGAGCAGTACGACAATGGAACTCATGACTTTGGGAGGTGGGGAGGGCACCAAAGCTGGAGGCATTCAAAGGAAAACTGGACCGCCCTCTGTGAGATCTGCTTTGATTGGGATTCCTGCCTTGAACAAGGGGGTTGGACATGATGACCTTAAGAGGCTCCTTCCAACTCCATTATTCTATGATTCTAACAAATGCCCTCAGAAAAAGCAAATCCATACATCCCCCTTTTATAATCTGGCTTCTGTCCCATTCCCTCTCCACTAGGAAAAATCCTACATCAGAAGGGAAATGATTCAGACAGGCCTGCAAGCCTCCAGACCCCTGGCTTAGCTCAGCAAAGGCTATTCTTACCATCAAGAAGGGTTAAACCTACTTCCATCCCTCAAGATGTTTTTAAGGACAAGAGAAAACCCACTGCTTTCATCAAACAAACAAACAAACCAAAAGCCTCAGAAGGTCTGGATGCTGCCCACAGCCTACAGTTGATCTTTGGCAGAGAAACTGTGTGTAACCTCCAACTGTCCCATAGCATTCGAACCCTATTCCTCAAATATGCTGAAGTATAGACAGTGGAAGCCACTGTGGTTTCCAGCTTTATTGGTACAGGGAAAATGCGATGAGAGTAGAACTGACTGGGGGGGGGGCGAAGCCCAGCACCCTCAATAATTAGAGCATTTCTATAATGCTTTGGAACAGTAAACGCCAGCCTTTTCAAGCCCATAAAACAAATGGGCTCCTCTTTCAATTTTATACAGCTGAGTCCTTCCTCTGCCCTCTCCTTCCCTTTACTCTCCCATTTTCCTAGGGAAAAGGGGCACCAGCCGCCTCCCTGAGAAGCCAGCTTCACTAGGCCTTTGCCTGCCTCTTCTCCAATGGCCATCAGATGGTACAAGAGGAAGCGGCAAGAAGGAGAGTCACCCCAGCATGTCCTGTTGAAACGGTCGCCCTTCCAGTGGGTCCCCGAAAGAGGGACCCCCTCCATCTGGCTGCATTCTGCTGTTGGCCACGAACAATGGGACGAGGTTACGAATCCGTGCTTGGGGTCCCGTCTCCTTTCCACCTCTGCTTCATGTCCTTGGAGACGCTGAAGCCTCGAGGCAGAGACCGACTTGTTTTTCATTGCTTTCGACACCGTTCTGGGAGCCTTTTGGGCTGAGTCACACTTTTATAGCCAGACTCCTTATGATGCTACGCCTGGCAGCACAAGCCCACTGGCGTAAATTCCAGCAGTAAACGGCCACCAGTTAAAAATAGGGCATGGACACTGGTTGTTACCCAGCAGTCCTGTGACTTGACACACACAACGCGTTTGTTTTCGTCTCAAGTCATATGATTAGTGCGTTAACAACAAATGTTTATGGCAACTTTTAAACAGCTGGCAAGAGAAACTATTTAAAAGAAATCAAATTAAAAACATGTATCAGTCAAATTTCTGGAACCCAATCCAGCTGAAGTGGGGTAAAAAAATTAATAGAATAAAGACGTATTTTAAAAAAAGAGTTTGCTTTATGACCTGACAATAGCTTATAACAGAATATGATATTTTATAATCAGCATTCATTGACCTTAGATTTTGGCCGGCTTTATGCCCATTAGCTGTCAGCCTACCTTGATTTCTACTGGATCTTTCTGATGGAAGTTCATGGGGGCAACCCCTGGCACATAGAAGCCGCTCGCCCCATGGCACAGGAGCAGCAGCACAGGCAGACACGTGAGCCTCTCCTGCAAAAACGAAAGAAAGAAAAAGAAAAAGCAAGCAGATTTTGTCAACAGACCCCACTCCATTCAGAAGGACAGAAAAGGCATTTGTAACACTGCTGGATGGTTGGTTTGTTTTTCAAAAAAAGGCTGAGCAAAAACGGAGCCACAAAGCTGGCTCAGGAATTTTGGGCAAATCAACCAGAACCGCAAAAAGCTGCAGACAGAGGGAAACCAAGAAAGGCATCTAATCTTCTTGCTGCTAGCAAATCCCATCATGGATTCTTCTTTTCAGAGAATTCCAGCCACAAGGGGGGGGGGCAAAGATACTGGACGTCTTACTCAACAGGCAACAGTGGGAAGGTGCAGACATGGAGGCCAAGGGCCAGGGACCCATGCTTCCCAGAGGAGTAAAGCAGGCTTCTGGGCTCAGAGAAAAGAAGAACCCTTGACACCCAAAGAGTCGGGTTTCCTTTCTCGCTCTTCAGCATTTCCTTCATCGCTTTCATGCAAAGTCTAATATGCCCATCTTCAGGGTGGAAAAATGCAGCCCATTCACGACTGCCCATTTCAGCTTCCTTTAGTGAATCTGTTTCTCCCCATCTCTTTCACACAAATGCACTTTGTTTGCTTGTTTGTTTATTTATAAACAGCTATACTCCACCTTTCTACAAAAAGGACCCTGGATAAGTATTAGTCAGAATTAAGATTTCAAACAGTTCAAATCATGTAGGTAAGTAAGCACAGGAAGGTCCAATTCCTCCCCGTGTAAGTATTTCTGTTGATACTGAACAGGAATGGGGGCTAAGAAAGCTAGCTGAGCCCCTTCTCGATAACACACTAGCTTTGTATGCAGAAGAATACTGACTGCATTAACCCGGGGGGGGGGCGGCGCAAATTTCAAATACTGGGATTACTTACTTACAGGATGAAGCTGGTATAACAAGCGGCAACGGACTTGCTGCTCAGAGTAGCATTTCAACCTTTAAAGCCACCAGCCAGAATTCCTGCTCTCTTTCTCTTTTTAATCACAAATATCAGCTTCCCATGTGTTTCACAACCAGAATGGTGTGTCGGGAAGAGACAGGTTTGCCCCACGGGACCTTAGCTCCTGATTTCAACTTTAAGCTAGGTGACAGTCACAGATTTTAGCAGCGGAAGTTGTAGACATCATTTGGAAAAACAACAGAAGGCAGGAAAAATTGCTCTAAAAATATACATTACCAACAGACAAATGCAGTAAAATTAATTGCCCATCTCGAGTTAACTGCGACAACTATACAAGCATTTCCAGGCCAAGAAGGAAGGACACGCCTAAACATTACCTGAGTCAGTGTATTAGATTAATCATCTATCCAGACCAGCCTTCTGTTTCGGACAGTGAATGAACTTCCAGCACAGAGGAAGGAAACGATTCAAGCCTCTGTGACACACCTTCCTAGACACACAACTGTCTCTTAAACTAAGGAAAGACGGTCTTGGGAAGGGAGGAATACACCTTATTTCTACTTTTCTCCCTCAACAGCAGTAGCCAATGACACCAATATAAATCCTCAGCGAAACCTAGAATGCGATCCTTTCCTGGGGGTTCAGGATTCACTTCTGCATGCCAGTATCCCCAGAACCCTTCAGCTCAGATGCAACTCAATACAGGAAGAACCTTTGAGTGAACTAAATTTTCGGCAATACTTTATTGCAGGGGGAAAAGTTTGTATTGTACACAAAAATAACCAGCAGGCTCACAAAATAAACACCCCAATAATTCCCGGTTGTTTACAACCCGGGTGGGGTGGGGGCGTATGGAATGTCTAGTCCAATGTTATCTGGAGGACGCACGTAAGAGCCCTGCAGAATCAGGCTGAAGGCCTGCCCAGTTCAGCCTTCTGTTCACTTCGTAAAAGACACCTTTAGACACCCCAGCAGGCAAGGCATAAGGGCAAGAGCTACATAGATCATCCAATTCATTTTAAGGGGCTTTGGGAAAATGTTCCCCACTGCGTATGAAGCAAATATAAGGCTCACCAAAAAGAAAAATGGATGCCTATTTTAGAAACTAACAGTGCCTATGTAAAAAAAATTGAAAGTTTAACGTCAAGAAGATAGTCCATGGTCTCAAGCAGGTGCCAGAAAGCAGACATGTATTTTACAAGGCACAAGTCCTAAGACCTCCAGAGGCCTCATCCCCATCTCCGTTTTTGTTCCATTTTGGGTTTTTTTTCCAGTCTGTAGGTTGATTCTCTGGCTGCAAGTCGAACCTAAATTTTGCGGCCAGAGAAGTCTGTAACTCAAAAAGTCTGTAAGTGGAGCCGTCTGTAAGTCAAGGGTCCACTGTACAACATCATGTAACACACAATATCTGCATTTCAAAGAACTTCAAGAGTGAACAAAAGCAAGGCATATATAATCTGATCAACATCAGATCCCTTTGACATCCAAAGTGGAGTGAAACAAGGCTGTGTCCTCGCGCCGACCCTGTTTGGGATCTTTTTTGCTGTCATGCTGAAGCAGGCCTTTGGCCCTGCAACAGAAGGTGTCTATCTGCAAAGCTCCTCTCTGTAACGCTCAGGAATACAAGAAAGGAAAGAGGGATTGATAGCGAGCCCTCCTGGATTCCTTTTGTATGTGCAGCACTTTAGCCTGGTATGGAGAAAATATAGAGATAGTTCTACTGCTCTCACAAATTACACATAAACTTTGTATCACCTATTAAAATTGGTCAGCAAGAGATTCAGGACCAAGAAAAGCAAATACAGTACTTTTCCAAACCTGTCAGTGGAACTTTGCTAGCATATGACAGAGGCGACAGTTATTTGGATGGCTTTAACACCAAATTAGATAAATTCATGAAAGCTAATAGCCCCAAGATCTAAACAGGATCTCCACATTCAAAACTAATACACCACTGAACACAGGGTGCTTATGAGCGACAAGTGAAAATCAGAGTTACAAGATGTAATGATACCACAGCACTAAGGACGCCTGGATAGCCAAGCTGCCCGGCCCAGTGTGGAGAGCCATCCGTCTCAGGACGGAAAATTTAGTCCAGCCTTTTAACCAATGCAAGAATTCTGCTAGTGCACCAACGGTTTTAGAAGGTTTCTTCCTAAAAAAGATGTAACAATACCACAGTGCTGAGGAGCCTCGGATAGCCGAGCTGCCTGGCCCAGTGCGGAGAGCCATCCATCTCAGGACGGAGAATTTAGTCCAGCCTTTTAACCAATGCAAGAAATCTGCTAGTACACCATCGGTGTCAGAAGGTTTCTTCCTAAAATCAAGTATACCACCACTGTCACACGGAGTGTTGCACTGCTGAACACCTCAAGCTATCACAACGTTCTGTTTAATGGGTTTCAGCCTTCATTTAGACATCAGCCTGAGAAATCAATGGGCCAGTTTCAGGAAAAAAAGACTGGACTGGACGGAGCTTTGGAATAACTCCTGGTCGAACAAAGCCTCTACCATCCCTGTCCATAGAGAAAAAACGGCTGAAGAAAGTACGACAGGGAAGGAATCTAGTACAGATCTCACAGGATCATATAACTCCACACTCCCTGTGGAGATAAGCATGGTACCTAAGTTAACAGCGGAGGGGGAAAAGGAATTACACAAAAGTAAGAGTCACACAAAATGGTTTGTCTTGAGATCAAGCGACCACAAAGTTCCCAACCAACCAGAGTGAAAATTCCATTTCCCTGACTCGAGGAGCACAAATCTGATTCACAGTATGCTTAATCTATTAATGGCAGCTTCGCAGTACACTGCAAGGTGGTAATTACTGTTTCTGCTCCATTTTATACAAAGGAAAATCCAAGGCGGCTTCTGCTAAGGAAAAAGCCATGCTGGGTGCAAATTCTACATACTGTACTGTACACTGTTTGGAAAGGGCATGAACGAGGCCAAGAAACCCCCCCCCCAAGTGCAAATTTACAAGCCACTTTCCTGGCGTGACGTTTTATACTTTCTTGGTGTAAAACGTCACACCAAGAGACTTCCTGCACAAGAGGCCACCTGGACGGAGCCGTCGCTGATAAGGCAGGAAACCTCAAAAAGCTGCCAACAAATTTAAAGGCGTAAAGTCAATTAGGAAGGCCCGACTGCCGTGAGACTGTGATGGGGACATAAGAGTCAGCAGCCTGGCCTGCTATTCCTAGCTAGCTCAGGGGGTGGAGGGTCTCTCTAGCTGGGGAGCCACAGGCTGGGAGTTCGATCCCCCTCCTCCTCCGCGGTGCCTCCTTGACAAAGGCTGGACTCCCATCATCCACAGGGTCGAAGCAGGCACAGCCAAAGGGTCCTTTCCAGCTGACCTGAGGCGCCTTTTTCTTTCTTCTTTCTTTCTTTCTTCCTTGCCCCGGGAGCTCCTGCAGATCAGTCGCGGATTACCTGGCGGGGCTGGCTTGGCTTGGGCAGCCTCTTGGCAACAAGCATGGCGGGGAGGGGGTGAGGGACCGTCGGCCCCTCACAGGGACACACATGCCGCCCCCCCCTTTTGACACGACCCACTGATTAAGTAGTTCCCTCTGGCACCGGCTTGTCCTACAGGGGCTTCGGACGCCTGAAAGGACCGGCTGAAGGTGTCGGGGGTCCCGAGAGAGAGAGAAA